TAGTTCCAATACTGCTCTGTTTCCCTTCCAATGTACGAAGAGAACATCACCAACAACTTGAGTTTGTTGCTTATGTTTCTTTCTACTTACTCTAGAGTCCTTATCACCTGTATTCTTAATCTTCACACTTTTGCCACCACTCTGTAGATGACTATTGTTCTCTATCAAAGACATTCTCTCTTGGACGCAAATCAGTAACTTCAATTCCATGGAACTTCTTATAGCTTTTTGATTTTGACTAAACACCTTCGATCCTTTAGGCATCTTACTATCTATGTTATTCATCTCTAACCTACAATCGTCTTCTTGAGACATATTTTATTTTGAAAAATATTGATATCCTCATCATTAGGTGCAACACCAACTGTATCTGGCTCAACAAGCATGGTGTCCACTAAAAAAATTTCTACATTCGCTCTACTCCTCTTCAAATTAACTTTTCCACTTAGAAAGTTACTCATAAAGCGCAACTTTGGAGTTCTCTAATGCTTTAGATTTTTTGCAATATCCTCATGCAAATCACATCGACTATATTTTGCCTAATTTACGTCATCTCCCTTAGATGTTTCATAAGTGATTTTACTCAATCCAAGAGTATGTAATCCATGAACCTTCACATTGCTCACATTAACATTATTTTCTTTGCTAGCAAGCCCGATGACTCTTTCAATTTTGAGAGCCTTTTCATTTCTCTGAATTAATTTCGCTTTTTCTATTCTATGAATTATTTCACTATCACTACTGTCTACACATCGTCTTTCATGAGGAACTAATTTTCCATTTCCATCATTTAAAGGAATTGTCTCAGTATTTGTTCTGAAGTTCAACATCTAACAACTATTTCTAAAAGCAAAAGCAACATATCAATTTTGCCTGCAATATATAAACAAGTGCAAAATATAAAGATTGTCTTGAATGATCTAAATTTCCTGGGGTGTTTGTTTTTATTCCTTGAGTTGAGCATTACTTAGATAATATCACCTCGGTAGTTGCATTAGTAGAGCGAGTGCACACAGACGCTTCACCAATTTGTCTCTTTCTCTTTCATCAATTATAACCTTATGAATGCAATTGTCACACCACCATCATTGATATTTTGGAATATCTAGATGAGGAAGTTACTCCTCGGAGTTACTGCCTTATCCAAAAGGTGAACAAATAATCATATCCTTCTTTGTAATTTCAAAAATATCTCAATTGTTTCACAAATAAAAGACCAACAAATATATTGGATTATTTCCTTGTCTAATCCAATGGAGGGGTTAATTCCTCAAGTGGTCACTCAACTACTAGTTATTAGCTCAGAATTAATCACTTGCTTTATTGAAAAATGAAATCATTAAGAAAGATGACTATGTTGGATGTATTTGGTGATAGGCACTATGAGTTTCTCATAACTTGACTTTTATTATATCAAAGTAAGGACATGCTTCGGTCTTAGAATCTTGATCACTCACTTGTTACTTGTTTCAACAACATTCTATACTAGAACACTCACTCTTGTTTGCTATCTTGATTACTTTCTTTCTTGATTTCTTACTTAGTTACATATCAAATGGACTACCTCTATTTATAGGAGGTGATGGAAGAATCTAGAGAGATAAATACTACTTACTCTCTCCTAGAATTTTATTAGATATCTTTTTCTAGAACATTTATAGACTTTCTTATCTAGAATACTCATTCTAGAGATCATTCTTCAATTCTCTACAACTCTGAAAGATTCTAGATTTTTCTTAACTCATCTTAAATAAATAATTAATTTTTGATGAATTCTTAATACTCCCTCTCAACACCAACTTAATGTTATCTTTGCTTTCGTTGTGAGCTATTCCTAAAACTCTGCAACCATCATGACATTCATGCCCTTTGAGAATCTTCATCTTTGTTGGATTATTCTGATCCCTACTCTTTGAAGCTTATTCAAAGGCAGTAGGCTCTTTAATATTGACCACGTTTGCTAATGTTGCATCAATATATTTGGCGTTTGAGCATTTCACTCGTGCCATCCTTTTTAGTTAAGGTTGCAAAGATTCTTGGAGTCTTTCTTGCAACTATTCTAGAGTTTCATGTACTCTAGTTTTCCATGGACTCATATTTTCACATTTTGAAGATATCTTCTCTGTATGTGAATTATATTATTCACATATCTCTAGTTCTAGTTCTGCCTCACCTCCTTGTCCTTCTTCTTCAAGTTTATGTTGTAGCTTTTGCTCCAATTCATTGTTAATCTGGCGGGGAAACTTCTTTGAACTACCATGTTGGTGCTTTATCAACTACCGCATAAGTCGTTATGGATGGCATAACATAGATTAACTTTCAGTCTAAAAACTTGAGATAGTTGCTTGTGAGAAACTATCTGAACATAGATTGCACTGGCAAAGAAGAGGAGGACCTTATTACCTTGTCACTGTAACAAAGAAGAGGAGATTGCACTTGCAACTTTAAGTGAGAAACTAGTCGGTTATGAAAATGAATAGTGATGAGATAAAGTTGATCAACATGAGCGAGTACAAAGGTGGTCAAGTAGTGGTGACCGCAAATAATTCAAAAAGGCCAATAACTCGTATTAGCAAAACGATGTTTGTGTCACATCAGAGCTCAACACAAGCGGAACTTCAAAATATCTACCATGTTCTAGGTATAAAAAGAACTTACTTTTGTGTCATAAAACTTATTATATGTGTCACAATTAATAGCTTAGGAAACTACGTTGTGTTCAGATAGGATGACTTAAAGGTATATCAAAGCTTAAAAGTAACAAGTCCGCTAAAGATTTATGAGAAACTATCGCTAACATAGATAACATGTCACTCTAACAACTTGAGATAGTTGCTTGTGTTCAGATAGTTGCTTGTGTTGAGATTCTCAACGCTATTGAAAGTGCTTGTAGCGTCCAATAGTAGCTTGTAGGATCTCCTTTCCTTTGAGTTTCTACCTTTCTTTATCCATCAGACTCTCTGGTACCACTTGTTGTTTATTTTTGGTTAAAGGACACAATTTATTGCTCACAACTTATATTTTATTATTGTAAAGTAAGGATTCACTTCGGTCCTACAATTGTTACGCACAATATTTCTTGCAATCACACTCTATCAGCTCTCTCTTATTTCTCACGCACTTGTTGTTTGCTATCATGCTTACATGCTTTGAGAACTTACTTTCTTACTTGGTTACCAATAAATATGGACCACCTCTATTTATAGGAGGTGATGGAAGAATCTAAAGAGAGATACATACTACTCTCTTCTAGAATATTCCTAGCTATCTTTTTCTAGAATTACCTTTTCTATAATATTTCTAGACTTCTCTCTCTAGAATACTCATTCTAGAGATCTTCCTTCAATTCTCTACAACTCCGGAATATTCTACATTTTTCTAGACTCGTCTTAAATAAATAATTAAGTTGGTGATGAATTCTTACAGACTAGATAAAATAATAACTATTAGTGTAGTTGAGTGATCGACTAAGAAATCAACCCACTAATAGAGGAAAGCAAATTGAATCCTTTCACAGAAGCCCCTTATATTTTTATCTAGATATGAATAGTACTGTGGGGAAAAAAAGGGAACTTGCTCACGAGTATCATGAAGAGAGAACTAAAGCTAGCTTCAATACACAAGCCTAAGTAAACTTCCAAATCTAATGAATTTGAAAACAGATTATGCAAATGCAAGAGGAGGAATATGCAATGATTAGTTAATTCACAATAATTATAAGATCACCCAAAGATAGTCAATACATACATACACATCTTGGATAGTCAATACATACATACATACACAACTTGGAATTAATAATATAAGTGAAACAACAAATGGAGAACTCACTCATGCATATAATTAAGTGATAAGATTGATTTTAAATGAATTAATACTTGGAAATACTAATTGAGTGTACACAAGATAACAAAAGAGACTAAACATATCAAAAAAATGATGGCAGTTCTCATTCTGTATCAATGACAATGGAAGATTAATATAAATAAATATACAATTACCTTGAGCTCTGATCCTGAGGATTTTGAATCACTTGCCTCGTGACAAGCTCCTTCAACTATGATTGTCATCTTGTCCATCTATTTAAACGACAACCTAAATTGAAATTTCAATAAGAAATTTGGAGATATTGTCACATGTATTTTCAAGATAAAAATTAATTGGTATACCTACTCAAATAAATATTATTTGTATCAAATCTTGAACATATCATCAAAGATATAAATAAATTTAGTTTGTATGCACTTATTAATTCAAAGTTATTTGATACAAAATCTAATATATTTGATGCAATAGCAATTACATGATTAACACACACTAATATATACACTCCATTTTAGTGAGTTAAGTTTGAAAGCCTTTAATGGAATAAAATTTAGAACCCTAACTCTCAAATTTGTTCTTTTCATCAACCCTTGCCTTAAATCAACAAGTGTTACAATCAAATAAATGCTTGAACAAGCTCAATGAGCCGACCATATAACATATAACAATTGATTTGAAGCTATTTAGGGTTTTCTAAGCGAATTCACTTGAATTGGCAAGGTATAAAAGCTAAAGCTTAAAAAAATTCCAAAATTCACTTAAAATCGTGATAATGCAATCAAGGTTGCCAAATTCATATTAGATATAAATACAAGTCATTCAAAACAATTCAAAAGCCAAATTATGATTTTTTACGGCACCTATGATTTTGATACACCCAAAAAATAAACTTCATAGATAATAAAAACAAAGATATAACCATAATCATAGTAAAACTATAAGTAAAACAAAACCCAAAAAAGTACAAAAAAAATAAAAAAAAAATAAACAACAACGAAAAAAAAGAGAAACACAAAATTAATAAATGACATCACAAAAAGCGTTACCTTTCAAGAGAAATCATAAATACAATCACTAATAAAGAAACCAACAAAAATGAAAAGGAATTAAATTTTAAAAAATCATAAATAAAGAGAAAAGATATATTTTTCACCTGAATTGAGATCTCAAATTAGATGAAGAACAAACTTGATCCAAGGCTAAAGCACCCAGATAAGGAGGCAAAGATGATGATTCATCCAAGGCGGGAGCATTTCAGGTTATCAGGTGAAAGGAAAGGGGAGCTAAGTGGAGTGGCGGATGAGGAAACCCTAATCTAAAGGGACATGTATATAGGGATAAAGTTGACGGCCTATCGGGGATGGGCTGGCCTTTTACTTTGGTTTTTTTTATTGGATTTGTGTAAAAGGCCTAAATTTGAGATGTACTGATTTCCTAATTTATTAAAAAGAAACTACTTTCACCCAAAAAAAAAATAGATCTCAAGATTAGAACAACACCCACTTTTCAACATAAAATGAAGAACTAAAAACATCCAGATTAATTCGAATGGAATTCAAGGTTGAAATAAATAGAAAACCCTATGATTTATAGAGAGAGTGAGTGAAACACTCAGACAAATGCTAGAGAAAGTATGACATGTGAGAAAAGATTTTTTAAGACAACATTTTTCCTACAAAATAGAGAGTCCTAAATGTGATTAAAAAGTTATTTTAAGTATTAAATAATTAATGTAATCATTTTTTTATTTTTTTTTGCAATAAAAAGGTGTAAATAGATAATCATCAGTGAAAATGTGAAGAAAATAATAATTAAAAGCTGGTTTTCTTTAAAAAGATGTAAATATTTAAAACTTTATTAACTATTACCTACCTTAACTATTTTGTCGTAAAACTAGCACATGTTGTCATGTCTCGAGCATACACCGTGGGGTGGCCAGCATTCAGAATCATTCTTTGGCCTGACTTACTACTATACTAAATATTATGACACTATGCTAAAGTTTTTAAAAGATAAGCATGCAATATGTTTAGAAAACAAACTCAAAAACTTTATAGATGAAATCTTAATAATAAATATATTTGTAAACCAACTGAACTATGACTCAACTGACTCATCTATGAAGCCTTTGACATGCTAAAGATAGGTTGTCGGGACAAGACCTCCGGCTACCTGAATACTATACTAATAACATATGCTAACTACTACTGCTCAAGATAAACTGGATCCATCCGAAGGCAAGGATGTCTCACCAATGCTTGATGAAAGTGATCCTACTAATGTGTCTGATGACTATCCTGAATACCTGAATCTACATTATAAAATAATGCAACACTGAATGATGTATGTACATGGAACGTACGGTATGTGAAATCGACGAATGAAATAACTAGTTAAATCTGAGCATACCGAGCTAACTGTAGAACCTCATAGACTAAAACAGAAATTAACTACATAATAAAACATATATGTGTACTTTATCAACAAATCTGACTCGTGGTTGCCGGGCGATTTTGGGACTCTCTGAAGTTTTCCATGTGTGATAGTATGGGTCGTACTATCAAAGTACGAGTCATACTCTAACTCGTAGTGCTTTGGAATGAAATTTTTAGATTGAAGTGTCTCTAGTAAAACGATCATAACTTTAATTTTTACTCAAGAACTGGATTCAAGAATGGTTATGGAGTTTGAAAGATGACTCAAAGACATTTAATTTAATAAGTAGAGGGACATAAACTCTTCATATTCAAAGAAATATGATCATTTGAAGTTTACTCTTGCATTGTCTTATGCAAAAGCTTAATCGGTAGAGAATATTTGAGCTCAACTTTGTGCTAGAGGTTCCTTCTGACTCTTGTATGCACCTAAAGTTTCGTTCCTAAAATACAGCAAATAGGAAAAGAAAATAGCAGGAAAACAATAGTATTTCTATTTGAATTTGTGCGATGTTACAATCTTTATGAAGTCTTTTAGAAAAGAGATGTAATCCCCTGATTCTTAACTTTACAATTGTTCTTGACTCGATGAAATACTTGTGGCTCAACACTTGGAGCGAAGACTTCTTTGTATGCGGAAGACTTGCATATCACCGCTTAAGAGCAAGGATTCTCTATGTAGTTTCGTGTCCTTCTGGTCTTATTTGAAGACCCCTTTATATAGACATGAGCTAGTGTTTTAGGGGTATTTTGGTCCAAGTAATTTAGAGGACCTTGGGCTTGAAGAATGTGAGTTGGGTTCGTCTTGTAAACTTAATGGAGTGACCCAAATATAATATTTGAACTTTATTCGAGTCATATCATTTTGACTTAAAACATTAATCCAAATTTATTAACCAATAATTTGACTTGGTCAACGTATCAAAATTTATGATTTAATCCAAATTTAATATGGATTTATCAATAAAACTTCGTTGTCTACACCCTTAATTCATATTATACACATCTCAAAATTAGGAATTGATCTTAACTTAGAAATTTTCAAAGTATTACACATGCATGTCTTGATAAAAGATATGTATCATAGAAAATATTATATGCTGAGAATAATAAAGGAAAAGATTCTCTTCATTCAATTAGATTTTGTTTACCAAGTAATTCAGAAGCCTTTTTTTAAAATCTAATCAATTCCCAATTTACTGCCATAACTAATCAGTTCAACAAAATATTTAATAAAAACCTATGATACAGTTTAAAATATTTTCCACAAACACATGATCTCCATGAGGCATACATAAAGAGATGTATCAAACGAATATTTTATTGAAGGAAATTGGATCAGGTCATCCATGTGGATCAACTAAACGAGCTTCACCTCCAACTATTGCTCCTCTCTCTCTGCCCAAACTCAAGAAACATAAAATCATATCAAAATAAACATTTCGACGTGTTATCTAACCTGAAAAAAATGAATCACGATCACCATTGAGATTTTTTCATTTATGCTGCTCTCTATTGACAAATCCTTTATGGATGCAAGTTTAGTCAAAACATTTGTGATAGCACTTTGCATTATCCGGAAATGATATAGGAAGAGAAATGATAAAGTCTACTTTTTTGTAATAAGGAAACCACAAACATACCCTAAGTGACATGTTGTTCTTTTATCATTATTATCTACCAAAGATTTAATACAAATAGTAGAAGGAGTAGAACAGTAGAATGTTCTATCATACAAACATCCTTAAACATATGTATTAAAATCAATGAAAACCCTTTTAGTGGCGATATTCTGAAAATTTGTGGCGACAATGTTGTCGCCGCTAAAGGTCCAGTCCTACTTGCCCACAATTAGGTGGAGGGCTTAGTCTCATGTGGCTTGCCACGTCACTAAAAATTTGGGTTGTTAACTCTTGAGGGTATTTGTGGTCTCTTGGGATAACAGTGGGGGCACTTTTATCCCAAAATGTAATAGAGGGTATAAGTAGTCTATTTCACATAGTTCACAGGAAATTTTAACCCTTTTCTGTACATTTTATTAATGAATTTCATCTAAAAATATAAAACATTGATAATATCTGAATTGCCCAAATGGGAGATAAGTGTTACTCAAATTGCTTATGGGTTTTGCTTTAGGGAAGTCTCTGGAGAGTATAAAGTATTGAGATTAGTTGATAGAAAGGTTCAGGATGATACTAGAGCTTCAGAATTGGAGGTTTATACTCTTGGAGTTTATGAGAAATGGAGAAATGCGGATGAAATTCCATGTTCTGTATGGTATGATTTTGGCAAGGCTAACGCCAATGGTGCTCTTCATTGGATGGAGAGCGAAAAAACTAACTGCATTTACTCCTTCGATGTTGAGACAGAAAAGATCAAGTCCCTGCCTGCTCCACCTGGTTTGGAAACTCCATCCTCGAACTTGAGGCTAGCAAAGTTGGGGAACTGTTTGTGTTTGACTGATAATATCCACAGATGGAATGTTAATATTAATATATGGTGGATGAAAGAGTATGGCATTGCAAATTCTTGGACTAAAACTAGCATTTTGGTGGAATCTATTCCGCGTGGTATGGTTAACTATAGTTTTGAACCGATATTTATTTGGAAAGATGGAGAAATCTTGTTTCAAAGTCGCTCAAAACTAGCTTGGTACAACCCAGAAATGAAGACGTTCAGGGTGGTTAATGTTGACGGTGATGTCATTACATCAACTAAATACACTCCAAGCTTTTATTCGCTCAAGACTATCATGGGGGACGACTTTCAAGTCACAAATGTTTATCCGAAGACTGCGATAGTTTAGAGTAGTTGTTTTTATCTTATTTCCATCGGAATATGATGTTTTGCTTTTGTACTTCTGATATAAACTTTTACTCTTTTGTGGATGTTTTTGAATTCTCGATAGAGAAATATTAATAAGTAATTACTATTTTGTATTATGAATATTTGATGAAATTGATGGTTTTTGGAAACAGATGGTGTAAGGTTTTCTTTTATGTTGTTAATACTAAGGTAACTAGTATACATACCCGAGTGATGCGCGAATAATATTTAAAGTAATCATTTCACATTGTGGTCTGATTTGTCAGAGCACACTCAATTATATTGCATTAACTAAAATTTATCTGCCATCTTATTTCTAATTACAATTTATATACCCAATAACACTTTGGAATGAATGTTACTCATGTCTAAGTGAGTGTGTTTGCACAGGCAAATGAAACATTTATTGAACCTGAGCTCCATCAAAAAAAAATTAGACTCTTCAATATTCTTTATAATTGGTAATAAGAACTCTTAATTGATTTTCTAAGTTAGTTATTTTTTGCGTAAAAAATATATACATCATATGTGTAGAACTTAAACACTTTTTCCTATTAGTTTCTAGTGAACGGACACAACTACAGCATTTTTGTTATAAAGGTTCTGGGGAAATTTATACATCATCACTCAAAGAATCAACCTTTAAATACAAACAGAGTTATAACTAAGGAAAAGAGATCCAAAATAATCTCAGAAATTCCTACAAATTTGATGTAATATTATATACAAAGACACTACATATTATGTAACACTCTCCTCAAATCGAACATTGATGTTAATTATATCCAACTTTATATAAACATATTTCCCTCATGCTTCATTTTCAACTTTCATAAATATATACCAAATTACTCTCTTGCCTTATTCTTCGTCGGATGAACCCCTTGACATACTGCTAACTTCGCCCACTGGTTAGTCCTTACTTAGCAATAATAAAATTAAAGTTGTAAGCAAACAGTTGTGTCCAACATCTCAATAGATACTTCTTTTGATCCAGGCCACCACTCTTACTGGTTGGTCATAACTAGCACCCCTCTTTGTTCTAGTCTACCACTATTGGCATCCTACCAAGATATTACTTTGAGTCATGGCTTCAAGCGTTAATAAATCTACTCTAATACAATTTTTTATTGACCAGATAATACACTCCCTCTCTATGAATTCTGCCATTAATGCTTGGCAGGTGCTCCAAAGCTTTGAGATTGAACACCGATCACTGAACTTGATATGGTATCAATGCCACTATCGGTACTTAGAGTTTTTAAGTCTAGTTACCTCTAATTTAGGTACCTTTGTAGCTATTATTAGATATTTTTTGCATTTTCTCAATTCGCAGAAATTACGTGTTACTTTGCTTACTTCCACTGATTTTACAATGGCAATTTCCCTTATGCATCTTTGCCCTCTTCTAATTCCGTCCACAGTTGTTAATGAGAGTGATCATCTATACATCCATCCCTCAGATAGCCTGGGTTAATGCTTGTTCAGTTTCCTTTTGATGGAATGGGATATCGATCCTGGAGAAGAAGCTCATGTGATCCTTCTCCGTGAAGAACACTTAAGGAGGTCATAATACAAGAGACTATGTCTTAATCTTCAGAAGAGGTTTAATACATGTCATTGAGGAAAGTTGTTGGTGAGCTTGTTTGGGTGGACATACTTTTGCCAGAATTGGATGTTCCTTTTTCTAAACCTATTGCGGTACATTTTGATAGTCAAATATATCCTACACATTGATTTTTTCATGAGAAAACCAAACATATAGAAGTTGACAGTAATTTAGTTCGAAATAAGCTCATGTGATCTTATTTCTGTAACACCCCGTATCTGAAACAGACCAAAATGTAGATTTTGAGAAGTTGCATGTGCAACCCACGGTTGCCACCTAAACTTGTTTTAAGACTTGAGTGAATGAGTAAGATAATGAGGAGAGTTGAGTTTCATGTTTCAAAATGAGTATAAGAGAACTAAGTATTCCCAACTGTAAACTCTTTTACATTTAAAACGAGAGGAAACTTTAATTTCTAAACAAGTTCATGAAGAGTTTTTGAGTAGTATCTCTTTTAAGAAAATCTTTTGAGTAATTATCTCAAGTCCAGGATGAGTTATGTTTTTATACATTTGAGCATGAGTTCTACATATTATTGGGAGTAGTATTGAGCACCGATATGGGGATGAGTTCAGACAACTCAAAATCCTCATAAACCATATATGCTAACATGGGTAAAAGATCGTACTTTCCAGATGATTCCTTATTGCTTTTAAGCATAGCTTAGTGGATCCACTTAGTTGAGGATCTTCTATACCTCAGCAAGGTATAGGACACTTTTGACAGTGTGGACGTGATATTGTATCATCACGTAGATCATAGTGATGGTTGTCGGTTAGAGAATCTCCCAAATAAGAGTAAGTAGTTTATTATTATATTTTTATATACATTTGAGTTATTATCTACTCTTTTAAAAGCTTTATATATTGCATCTTTTATTGTTTCTTTCATATTGAGTTGAGGTGAATATGTTTTCCCTTTTTATCAGTTCAACTATATATCCCTATGTTCAGTTTTCCTCTTGCATGCTCGTACATTCAAGTGTTCGATATCATCAACCGGATCTTCGTTGATCCCATCGCATTACAGCTAGCTTGGTGAGCCTCCTTACTTTGGGAGGGCTCCACCATTAGATTCTAGTTGTGTTAGGATGTTATGGGTAATGTCCCTACTCCCATCATAGTATTTAGAGGCTTCATAGAATATAGTAGTTAAGGGGTCTTTTCCCATTTTCCTTGTGGGTTGCACACCTATGTTCATTTGAGTATTTCAGATAGTTTTGAGTTAAACCATTTTATTAATGAGACATTATGAGTTGAGTTTTGCATTTGAGTTCCTAAATAGTTGAGTAAGTCTTCCACTGAGTATTGAGCCAATCCAAGGGTTCACTTGAGGACCAGCGATGGTTCTTGGGTGCCGGTCACGTCCAAGGTGTAGGCTCGGGGCTTGAAAAAGAGGTACTAAACTTTTATAAAAATTATTGGCAGAGGTTATAAACTCCATGAAATTATTTCCTGAAATAGATAATGGGGGTTAAAACAATCGTTATTTGGCTGCCGCAAATTGTTGTTGAGATAGCTTAAAAACTGCCACAAATTAATTGTGGCACACATAACAACAGGAGTCCTTGAAACCCCTATAACAGTAACTAGCAGGGTTTTAAACCCCAACAATTTGGAACTTTAACCCCCCATAGTTTGACCCCTTTTTGTAGTGATATCTAAATATTTTAAAGCGTAAAACTTAAAAAATTTACCTTTGAATGTGCACAACAGCAAAACTTATAATGACTGGAATTCCTTAGAGTCCTGGATGTTTTTAGTTGATAATACTCTTTGCATTTACATACATCTTGTTCAATTGAATGTACATACATTACAAATTGTTGAGACATGACTATCAAATTTTAAAGACCAAAATACAATATTATAAGTAGAAGAAGATAAAATATGAATGAGAAAATGTGAAGTGAATAACCTCATATTTATTGTTGAAGAAGAGATGTAGTTTTACATGAAAATTTAACTAATAAAAGAAATTGTAGTACACCCGTTTATGAGTGAAATGTCTTAAATTATTTGTGATGTATTTTGGGGTGAACATACGGAGTTAACATTCGTTTGGTATAGTTTGTCTATTTGAGGGCGAACTGTCCGTTTTGATCTGTGATTTTAGGGAGGATCCATTTAATATGTTGTGTTAATGTAAATAACTCTAATTAATGTTATGAGAGAGAGAGAGAGAGCGAGAGAGAGAGAAAATAAAGTAAGAATATAACTTCTCACTCTCTTAAGGAAGGTGTATTTCACTATTTCTGTCACATCAACATATATATGGGCATCTATTCCACTTTAAAATAATATAAGGGGTTCATACGATCCTCCCAAAATTAGTGTGTATAACAATAATTTTGATTGATGTTTGAGTGGTTTTTAATCGTTTCCCAAATTTATTTGATTTTAAGATTTTAGATATTAAACTAATTGTAAATGAAAAGGTTAATAATATATATTCCTCATCTTCTATTTTATAATTATTCAGAAAAGTGAAATTTAAAAAAATAATATGATATTCATGTGTTATTATTTGTACAGAATAAAAAAAGAGTATTACACGTTGAATAAATAAAAACTGATTGACATTTGACCCCTACAAAAAATGTATGATGTGCTTATTTACTTTATTCAAATATCGTATATTATATAATTTAATTAATGAAGGATTTAGTGCACCAAATATTTAAAGTATATTGTTTATTTTCTTTCCTATTTTGGATTTTTCATTTCCAAAAAAAAAAAAGGACTCCAAATCATTTTTTTCAAAAAGAATTTCAGTTTAAATTTTAAAATCTATGGCCAAATGAGAGATTAATTAGTTAAACTTTATTCCAAGAAGCAAAAGGTTTTATATTTATAATTTTTATTGTAAACTCGTGCTGACGAATTGATTGTCTTTTCTATTATTTTAATTTAAATAATAAAATTTATGTTGTGTGATGGTGTTTTTCAGTATTTTGTATCTTGTTAGGGTAAATAATGACGGAGTACTAATTGAGTAAGGAAGGAGTTAATATAAAGTAAAATATTAATGTACTATACAGTCAAACACTTAAGAAATTTTTAATTCCTTGATAAAATCTAACTCACTACGAAGAACGGTTCGAGTCTTAGATCGAAAATTTTTCTGGGATGTTACAATATCTCCCCCTTGGGATCATTCGTCCTCGAATGACGACTGGACTGGGTATGGAACGGGTTACTCTTACTAAGGTCTGAGGCTAATGGTACACTCTCACTATATTCAAGCTTAACCTAAATCCTTAGGTTCAGGTTCTATACCTCTCTATAGGGAATGTCATCCCAAAACTAATACTCTTTACCACCACATTGGGCTCATAGCAAGATCCACGTAATGTTTAACAACACCACATT